CCTGACCTGCCCGCTGCTCCCCTCAGCAATGTACTTCGTCCATCTGCCTGTTCTGCTCCCCACTCTGTCTCTGGTGAACCCTCTCACTGCTCCTGAGCCTCTGGCCTGTACCCCAGTTCTGTATGCACAAATAAATAAATCTTTAAAAAAAAATCTCAATGGCAGGTCCACCCTTGTTGTGCAGCAGGTTACAGAACAGACTAAAAAGCTAAAGCACTTCAGCAGGAGTTCGATCCCCACCCCGGGAGGTGACCTACATGGCACGGCAGACCTCTCCTGACTGGCCCACTGCTCCCCTCAGCAGTGGACTTTGTCCATCAGCGTGTTCTGCTCCCCACTCTGTCTCTGGTGATGCCTCGCACCACTCCTGCACCTCTGGCCTGTACCCCAGCTCTGTATGCACAAATAAATAAATCTTTTTTAAAAAAGTCTCAGTGGCATTCTTCAAAGAAACAGAATATTGATGAAACGTATATGGAATCACAAAAAAAAAAAAAGAAAAAATACTCAAGTAGTCAAAGTTCTCCTGTCTCCTGACTAAAATGGAGGATGAAGATATCACATTCTCAGATTTTAAAGTATATTACAAAGCCATAATAATTAAAACAGTATAGTACTGGAACAAACAGACACGTTCACCAATGGAATCTAATGAAAATCCAGAAATAAAACCACACACACATGTATGGACTCATCCATGACCAAGGAGCAATGGAACAAGACTGGTCTATTCAATAAATCGTGCTGAGAAAACCAGACGACCACATGCCCAAGAACGAAACTAGATCTCTGCCTCCCACCATACACACACACCAGCTCAAGTGGAAAGGCCTGAACATCAGATCTGCAACCATAACCTACAGAAGAAAACAGGCGAAACACTCCAGGACATACATCTCAGAAACACCTGGAAGACTCATCCCCCAAGCAAAGAACGTCAAGGAAAAGGCAGACAGTCGGGATCACATCAAACTGAAAAGCTTCTGTACAGCAACAGAGACGATAACCAAAACAGAGACGCTGTGAAGGGGAGAAGACACTGGCACTCCACACAACTGACCAGGGACTGCTTTCAAAAGGCTACAAACAGCTCACGCAACTCCACAAGACAAAACAATCCAGTCAAAAGGTGACGGAGGAGCTCAAAAGACACTTCTCCGAAGAGGAAAGGCAAATGGCCCACAGGCGTGTGGGGAAATGCTCAGCATCAGTTGTTGCGTCAGGCAACACCCCTAACCCTAAACCCCAAACCCTGACCTACCCCCACCCATGGTCCCAATCTTATCAGACACAGTTACCTGTCTGGCCATGGCTCCCCGGGCTCCTGGTGACGCCTCCTGGCCTTCACTCATTGTCCCAGGGGATTAAGCACCTGCTCTTGTTTAACCGCAGAGGTCCATAGTTTGCATCCTCTAAGTTTAGGTCCCTGGGTGACTGGGCCAAGTGGACTTTGTGCTGAAAAGGTCCAACCAACTGCACACAAAGCCAGAATGGTGGTTTAGGCAGTCCTTTGACCCTAGCAGACCCACAGTCACTTATCATCAGGGAGATTAAAAAAAAAAAAGCCACACTGAGGTATCGCCTCACACCGGGACAATGGCAGGCATTCAAAACCCTCTAACAGCAAGTGCTGGCGAGGAGGTGGAGAAAAGGGAGCTCTCCTGCCCTGCTGGGGAGCGGGAAAATTGGTCCAATGATAATGGAGCTGTGCAGAGGTTCCTTAAATGACTAAAAATGGAGCTTCCATATGACCCCACAATTCCACTCCGAGGGATCGACCCAAAGGACACAAAATCATTCATTTGAAAGGAAACCTGCACCCCTCTGTTTACTGCAGCACTATCTACAACAGCCAACATATGGAAATAATCTAAATGTCTCCAATCAGGTAACTGCATCAAGCAGATACGGTCTATATACACAGTGGAATACTACTCAGCGGTCAAAAAGAGGGATGGTGCTAGAGGGGATTACACCCGTGAAATAGGTCAGAAGGAAAAAGAAAAATATCATATGGTTTCACTGGTAGGAGACAAATAATAGGGGCCACACAAGGAGTCGGGGAAAGCAGAAAGACAAAACTAGCAGGAAACTATAAATCAGAGACATTCCGCAGGGGAAGGGGATGAAAATCAGAGAAAACAAGAGACGACGGTGATGGAGCACAGGGTAACCTGGTGGTGGGATGTCTATGGGGTCTTCAGAGGAGAAAGCAAACCATACAAAAATGAATAGTGATGTCAAGAAAAAATATATATGTATATATAGAAAAGAATATATATATATAGTACAAAAAATGGAAATGTATACCATGTTCATGGGTGAGAAGAATTAACATTATGTAAACCACCAAAAGCAATTTACAGATTCAGTGTAGTAACTATTAAATACAACAACTATTGGGCCTTCCCTGGTGCTGTGATGTGTTGAAGTGCAGCACCGTGAAGCTCCCCACAGCCCCTGCAGTACGAGTTCGATCCCCACCCCGGAGGGGACCCCCAAGGCGCAGCAGACGCCTCCTGTCTCTCCTCGGCTCCCCTCGGCAGTGATTTCAGTGGATCCCCCAGTTCTGCTCCCCACTCTGTCTCTGGGGAATCCTCTCACGCCCTGCCCTTCTGGCCTGTACTCCCGTTCTTATATGCATAAATAAGTACATTTTTTTTTTAAATTAAATGCAGTAACTATTAAAATACCAAAGACTTTTTTTAAAGGAAATAGAAAAGCAATTACCAAACTTTTATAGAACTACAAAAAGGCCTTAAAAAGCCAAACAATCTTAAGAATAAACAAACAGCCATTACACTTCCTCACTTCAAACTATATTACAGAGCAACGGTCATCAAATCAGCATGGTACAGGTACAAAAAAGAAACTCAGACCAGTGGCGCAGAATAGAAATCCCAGCGCTAAATCTATTTTGAACTCAAGAGGAAACCCAGTTTGTGATTTAGGAATTATGGCCCCAGGGAACACAGTCAGCCGTGTACAGAAAAAAAAAAAGGAACCAATAAGCCAAGGTCCATTTTAACACTATAGGTGAAAACTCACTCAACATGGATTAAAGGTTTGGTCACAAGAAGCAAAATCATGAAGCCCTTGAGAGAAAATAGAGGGTCACGCACAGGTCATCCGCCACACGACGGATCTGGGGTCCAGCCCAGCAGGCGGCAGCACACCGGGCCAACGGAGCAGAGCCAGCCGCGTCCCTCCGTGTCCAGGACGGGGCGCCCGGAGCAAGAGGGGCCGTCCGAGCCCCCCGCCCTCCTTCGCCCCGCTTCTGGCAGAAGCCCAGGCCGCCTCACCTCGGGAGACTCTGTACACTTCCAGGAAGGAGTAGAGGTGGAAGCCGAGCGAGGCGAGCAGGTAGAGGCCCAGCTCCCACCGGGGCAGCATGCTGGCGAGCCTGGCGGCAGGCGGCGCTGCTGGAGGGAAACAGAAGCTCACGTCACGCCTCAGACACCTCGAGGGGCTGCCCGGCCGTCCTCGGCCTCCCGCCCCCACCTCGGTCGGCCACTGCGTGCGCACAGGCCCACAGGTACCCAGGTCAGCTGCAGCCCGACCTGCCAGCAGATGCGGCCCCGGGGTGGCCTGGGGGAGGCGCCAGGCCCCAGCACTGGGCCGCAGGTAGCAGGAAGGGCCGCCCGCGCACAGCAGCAAGAGTGAAGGGCAGCTTCAAACGCCAGGACAAAAGCCAGTGGCACGCACCACACAGTGCACCCGGCCACATGAGCAGGCCACGGGAGCGAGCCACGCTCGCCACAGGAGCAGATGCAAACACTGCTCCAGGCCTGGGCCTCACAGAGGAGCCCGCCCTGTGGCCGGCCGCTGCGTGGACACGGCTGTGCGCTCTCCCTGGCCACGTGGCCGCTGAGTCCCAGCAGACCAGCGTGGACCCTCAACCCGCTGAGATCAAGAGTACTGCCCACCGGCCACGGACGGAGCGGGACATCCCATGGACAGGCAGACCCAGGCCCGCACCGAGGGCCTGGGTCAGCCCCGCTGCCCTGGTCTGCGAAGGCCAGGGGACCTCGGCAGGGTGCAAGCGGGCCCTAGAGCTGCGGACGGGCAGCCCTGGTCACACAGCGGCCAGTTAGCGGCTGCGGGTGGCCCGGCCCGGCCCTCGGATGGACACGACCAGTCAGGAGACCGTCCTGCCGTTGTGGGGTCTGAACAAGCCTTTCTGACTTTCCCGCCGCCCTGCTGATGCTGGGGAGCAGGCGGGGGGAGGGGCGGCCAGGCGCCGCCCGGTTGGGGGTCTTCCCAGGGAGAAGAGCGCGGGAGGCCCCGGGCAGCGTTTGGAAACACACGGTGGGTCCCAAGTGGACACGAGGACGCGGCCACAGGCCACGTGTGGGCACAGCAGCCGCCACGCCACAGCTCAGGGTGGGCGCACCCTGCCTCATGGAGCTGGGCGTGACCCGCTTTGGGGGACGAGCCCCGTGGCCCGCAGGCCCGCCCCCTCCCCGGCTGGACCTGGCCAGCACTAGTGGGCATCTGCTTCACAGCACGGAGGCCTCGGGGTCAGAGGGGCGGGGCTCTCGGGATGCTGGGAGCATTCCCCCCGTCCAGCCCAGTGTCAAGGGGGTGCGGAGACCGGACCCCGCCTTTTAAGGGAAGGAGAGCCCCCGCTCCACCCTCAGCTGGACACCGGGAAGGGACCCCCAGGGGCCTTCACTGCAGAGGCCTCTGGAACCTACTGCCCAGAGAAGCAAAGGCCCAAGCAGAGAGGATCTGACCCCAGGGCGGTCAGCGCCCCGAAGGGGGTCAGCGCCCCGAAGGGGGTCAGCGCCCCAAGGGGGTCAGCGCCCCGAAGGGGGTCAGCGCCCCAAGGCACTCAGCACGGACCCCAGCACCCCGTCCTGTGGTTCTGTCCGGCAGAAACAGTGGACTGAGCACTCCCAGCACAGGGGCCCTCCCTCGGCCCCCCTCAGCCATCTGGGGCAGGGAAAGGGCGGCCCCCTGGGGGCACTCGGGAATGTGGGGGGCAGCGGCCGTACCTGCTGTCGGGTTCCAGGCTCAGGGTGTCCGCGGAGGCCTGGGGCCTCTCCTGCCAGGAGCCGCCCTCCTGCAAATGGCCCGGTCAGCCCCTAAACAGCGAGGGGCAGGCGCGGCCCACCTCCACCCAGCCCACCAAGGGGCCCCAGCCCCGCCGCCCAGCCCGAGCGCGCAGCCGACCCAAGCCAGCAGACACCCCCACCGGGGCTGCGGGGGGCCGGGGTCCCTCCAAGTCCGCCCCGGCCACAGCGAGAGAAACTGAGCTTCTCGTTCAGCAAGCCGAAGCCCCGCGGACTCGTGGCCAGTGTGGTCAGTGCGGGCTCCCCCGCGCCCAGGCGGCAGCGGGGCAGAGGCGGCGAGGCCGGCGGGGGTCTGCGGCCAGGGCATCCCCGCAGCTTCCCGGTCCCGCCCCCCGGGAACCGGAAAGCGCCCCAGAGCCCGCCCGGCCCACGACCTGGGGTCCAGGCCCGCGCAAGCCCCCCCTGCCCGGCCCCCC